GCGCTCTAAAATAGTTTTATTTTTTTGGTTGTTGCACTCTCATAAGTGAAGAGTTTTTAAACATTAGAAATTTTAATTAAAATAATAAAAGAAAAAGATTGTTGCAATATGCCAAATCCTCAGTCAATGTAGCAGTACTTCCTTGTAGTAGTGGGGTATAAGTTAATTAATGTAGTAGCACTCCTTTGTAGCAGCAGGCTATAAAATAATGGCAGCACTCTCTTGTAGCAGGAGGCTATAAGATAGTTGATATATGTACTAAAGCCAATAAATATTTTTTATGTTTATATTAAAAAGTTACAATTATGAGCATGTCTCCACAAGAAAGCGCAGCAAACGATTAAATAAATTTATTTTAGGCCACATATCTATAGCTAATTTTCCTAATTTAATTAATCGCATATGTAACGATTTCTGAAAGTTCAAGCAAACGATTAAATAAATTTATTTTAGGCCACATATCTATAGCTAATTTTCCTAATTTAATTAATCGCATATGTAACGATTTCTGAAAGTTTAGAAATATTGTGGTGGAAAAACAGTTGCTATCCAGTTTTGGGCAACAAATAAGCTTATTTTTCATCAAAAATGTTACCTGCTACTGATAATAGTCTCATTTTAAATGTTTCTTAATTTTTAAATAGTTAAACAGTATAGGATGCCTAGTACAGTAAATGTTTTATATATATATATATGGCAGCACTCTCTTGTAGCAGGAGGCTATAAGATAGTTGATATATGTACTAAAGCCAATAAATATTTTTTATATTTATATTAAAAAGTTACAATTATGAGCATGTCTCCACAAGAAAGCGCAGCAAACGATAAAATAAATTTATTTTAGGCCACATATCTATAGCTAATTTTCCTAATTTAATTAATCGCATATGTAACGATTTCTGAAAGTTTAGAAATATTGTGGTGGAAAAACAGTTGCTATCCAGTTTTGGGCAACAAATAAGCTTATTTTTCATCAAAAATGTTACCTGCTACTGATAATAGTCTCATTTTAAATGTTTCTTAATTTTTAAATAGTTAAACAGTATAGGATGCCTAGTACAGTAAATGTTTTATATATATATATATATATATATATATATATATATATATATATATATATATATATATATATATATATATATATATATATATATATATATATATATATTTATATAAATATATATATATATATATATATATATTATAGGTTATAAATATATATATATATATATATATATATATATATATATATATATATATATATATATATATATATATATATATATATTATGTAGCCACGATGCTGAGGTGCAGGCTTTCACTTTCAATTTTCAAGGTAAAAAACTACATATAATAAAAATCTCATTTCGGCCGGAATTTTTTCAGCATGCATATACAGTTCCAACATTTACTATAGATAACAGTTAACTATTTTTATTAATATCATAATTACCATAATAATTACTAACATGAGATTTTAACATTTAACATCTTATCAGTATATACCAACCAAGTAAAAAAAATAATACTCAGACTTTAATACTTGAAACGTAAGCCATTGTTGTTAACAAGTAGTTTTAATTTTAGATTTTCAAAAATTAGTTTCAAATTATTTTTGATTAATAAAAAAAAATTTATTAATCAAAAATTATGTAAAAATTAATGTAAAATTGAGAGAGTATTATTAATTTAAAAGTTCTATTTTTTTAATTTTGCAAAAACTTCTTTTTTTTTTTCTTTTTTCTTTTTGAAATTTTATTTTTGAACAAGTTCAAAAAAAAAAAATTTCAAAATAATAAAATTTTATCTTGAAAAAATTACAATGGAAACAAACTTTGAGTTTTTTATAAATTTTTTAAATCATTTTAACATAACAAAACCAGATTGCCAAATTTGACTATTAATATAACAAAATTAGATTGCAAAACTTGATTTCAAGATAAATCCATTTTTTCATTTTCTTCCAATCGTATATTGAATATACTGTATATAATAAGGTATTATTTTGTTTAATTTAAAAATGTTTGATGTATTGGTCTCTAGCCGGTATGGTTAAGAAACGTAAAGTCTGTACACTCAATCTGTAGCTGGCATTGAACATAACATTAAGGAAATTTTTCTACTTGTTGTTCATGTTTACCCTACACAATCTTGAGTTTTCTAGTCTAACAAACTTCTTGATGGACCTAATTTATCAGGGCTACAACCATATTTATTGTCTATTAGACGAATAAAGTAGTCATTTTTCAACTTTTGGTTTAGAATAAAGTTTTCAAATAATTAACTGTTTTGAATATTTTCTAAATGGCCTAGGCCTGGTGTTGATGTCCTATTTTAAAAAAAATCCAATATAATACAAAACTTTAAAAGATTCCCAAAAAAACCAAGCAAAATAGATAGTCAACCAGCTGTAATTTTATGGTTTCTGTAATCATGCCACTTTTTTGTTTTGTTATATGCTTATGTAACTAAAACCACATGCAGTTACTAAGGTTAGTATTAACAATACCATTATTAAAAAGCTCTCTATTAATGAGAAATACGCCTTTTAAACCATCATAAGTGCTTTGTACATCATTTAAAATAACATTAGTACATCATTTAAAATAACATTTTCAATAACTTTGTACATCATTTAACAACTTTTGATAATTCAATGTTATTTTAAATAATGATTTGCATTCAAATTTCAATTTCTTTAAGGCCCGAAAATAAACATAGTATATAGTAATAGTTTTGATGCGGATATTGCAATTATGTTTTATCTTTTTTTATTTTTCAGGACTAAAATCAGGATATTCAATCTTTAAATTAGCTTCACTTTGTAACTGTTTTATGCAAGATAGAACCTAAATCTCTTTAATAGTTTTATTTGGAGTTGGTATTTTATCAATATTGTGTTTTAAAAAAATACAAAAGTGAAAGTAAGCAACCCAGTACACAACCTTATAGAACAGGACAACTGCAATGTTCTATTTCAGGATTAAATCAATCGAAAAGTAAAACAACTGATCTCAAACAGTCACTATATAGTTTTATACCCATAGAATTAATCCATATAACATTAAACTAGGTAACTATTTTATTTATCAAATTTGTAGTATTTTTGATGCTTTTAAGGAAGTCCGCAGTCCTCTTCCTTTTTTTGGTCACAATATCTGTAAACAATATCTTCACTAGTTTTCTTATCGTAAAACATCTTTTTTGATGATCATTCAGCTATAATTTTAGATATTTTAAGTGAGACTGCATTGAAAATACATTTGCTATTCAATATTATTATTATCTATTAGTCTTTAGTCTTGAGTTTATTTTTTAGATTTAAATAACGTAAATACATTTTGTTTCGCATTTCCTCGAAAGTACCACATGAAACTTTTTTTATTATCTTATTTAATCATTTACATTTTTAATCCTGATGAATTAGGAACAAATAACTGCAGTGATTTTTTTTTAATAACAAAGTTATCATCTTTACTTTTTTCCCTACATCAAATAGAGACCAGGCCTCTGAAATGGATTTGGCTGATAGTGGTTGCTTGCAGCCTTGTTGAAAGCAAATATGTTTAAAAAAACTCATAAAATGTGCAGTTTACTTAGTTTTTTGTCAACTGCTTTCTTGGATTTCTATTGTATTTTTCTTTCTTTTTTTCTAGAACTTTTTTTTTTTTTCACTGAACTCTCTTCTTTGCTTTCTGTTAACTTAGGTAGTTATTGTATAATAACAATTATTGTGGCAAAAACAATTTTATGAAAATAAAAAAAAATCTTACATTCTGTCTTTGTGTTTTAATGTTTTTAAAGTCAGGTTTATCTTATGATAACAATTATTGTGGCAAAAACAATTTTATGAAGATAAAAAAAAATCTTACATTCTGTCTTTGTGTTTTAATGTTTTTAAAGTCAGGTTAATCTTATGATATCTTATGATAACCTCTTATGAACCTTATGATAACCTCATATGAACCCTATAATAACCTTCTAAAAACCTTATAATAACCTCCTATGAGTCTTATGATAACCTCCTATGATAACCTTGTATGAATCTTCTATGAGCTTGTATGAACCTTCTATGAGCTTTATGATAACCTCCTAAAAAATTGTTTTTTAACTAACAACTTAATGCTAAAGTGATACATATTAACATATGTATCACTTTAGCAAAAATAGTTGTCAAGTATAATTAAAAATTAAAAAATAAAAATTTTGTTTAAAGTAATTTCAATCTTGAACAAACACTGTCACTAAAAATTCATAAAAATATTTTTATTCATAATATTTACTAGAAATTTATGTTAAGAAATTTCAGTACTTTATTTATATTTCGGAGGCCAAGGGGGCCGGTTAATAAGGTTTTTTTTTTTTTTTTTTTTTTTTGCATAAAACTTGCTAAACAAGGACACTGCACAAGGAATAAGTAAGGGCTTTCATAAAGAAGATTGTTAGAAAGGGTTCCTTAAATAGATTTCATATTAAAATGATTTTCAGAACTCATAACTTTAATAAATTTTAATTTAAAAAATTGTTAAAAGTAATTATTTGAAGCTTAAATAAAGGTTTTGTTCGACAGAATAACGAATGATAACATAATAACTAATAAAAAAAATTCAAATTTAGACATAATAATAAAATATAGCAACTTCAAATATAGCAACTTCAACTCTAAAAAGTTTCTTAATAATGACATTTTTAGGTTCATTAGATTTATCAAAAACATTTGGAATAAATGACTTGGAAACTGTAAACAAATAATAATATCTTTACAAAATTTAATTCACATTAATATTTTAATATATTGCTTTTATATGTATTTATAATAAGTTATTTAGATTCATTAGATTTATCTAAAAGTTTATTTCATGTATATTATTTAAAATATTTTATATTTATATAAAATTATAATAATAATGATTATCATCGTCATGATCATGAACATTATGAAAACTATCAAAATTGTGATGATAACTTTACCAGAATTGTGTTTTGTTGTATTTATTTAGAATTGTCACCGATGTCAGCTGAACTAAAAAAATTTTATCTTGAATATTATGGGAAAATTGATGAACTTGAACCTCTGTTAAAAACATCTGCAAATGTTGATCTAATACAAAAATTTGTTGATCTATGTATTGTTGATTCCGTGACCGCTCAAAAAAATGCTGTTTTTAGTGTTGAACGAGAGGAATTTCTTCAAAAGCAAATGCGTTATACACCAATTCCATATAGTGAAATATTTACGAAAGAAAAATCTGTATTATTAATATCTGGAATAGCTGGTATTGGGAAAACATGGTTGCTTAGAAAATGTTTACTTGATTGGTTAAATAATTTAATTTGGAAAAATGTTAAACTTGTTTTTTATTTGGAATGCAGGAGACTCAATCAATATCCAAATATTTCAGATATTAATGAATTACTAATTGTTTTCTACAAAGATATTGTAAATGTTTTCTACAAAGATATTGTAAATGACTTTAAATTAAGTAGTCATACTACAATGTTTATAGTTGATGGATTAGATGAGATTCAATATTTCGATGAGTTATTAAATCCAAATTTTACTTCTTATCCAATTGTTAATGCTTTCGCAGAAATTACAAAATACAAACATGTCGTTGATGGATTAGATGAGTTTAATTATTTTAATGAGTTACCAAATCCAAGATTGACTCCCATTGTTAAAGTTTTACGAGATATTAAAAAATACAAACACATAATTGCTGGTAGAGTTTATGCGATTGATCAATACCAAAGTATATCTACAGAACAAAGCAATAAGTTAACCATTCAAATAATGGGATTTAATGAAAATGGAATAAATAATTATATAGAAAGTCATGTTATGGAAGAAAAAAAAGAAGTTGTAAAAACAACTTTGGCAGAATCTCCTATTGCAAAAGCCATGGCCTCTGTTCCATTTTATTTATCTTCAATGTGTAAAATTATTAGTGATGTAGAAATAATAAATAAAAATTCCCTCTTAACGATGACAGATTTGTATGCAAATATTTTTTTATACTTTTTGCGCCAACACATTTTCAAAAACAATAAATTGATATATAAGATAATGGAAGATAATACTAATAAAAAATATATTTTAAATATTTGTAAAATTGCATATAATTTGTTTCTTCAAAATAAAATAATTTTTTCCAATGAAGAGTTTCAAGATTTTCTCAGTGATAAAAATGAAGGTGATTTTTTTGGATTTATAGAAAGGATTGAAACAGATTTGGGTTGTTACTATCAGTTTGCCCATTTGACAATAATGGAGTTTTGTGCATCTGTATATGCATCTGTATATAATTGTTTAAGTGGTGATGAGATTATGACCAATACGAGGCTGAAAACTTGTTTATCAATGATTTGTGGATTAGCCATTAAAAACCAAAAAAGTTTAATAAAGTTTCTTTTTAACTTAAATCCTTCGAAAAAGTCAAATAAAGAACCATCACTTTTGTGTTCTATTTTAGGTAAGTTCTAAAACTTTGTTGTATTATTGTGAATCATTTTAGGTAATCATTTAGTTTACTTAATAAGATATAAAAAAATTTAATTTTATATAAATTTTTACATATTTTTTATTTGTTAAATAAGGCATTTCTGTTAATTGCTGATTTTTACATGCAAATAAGGTGTTTTTGTTAATTTTTGATTTTTTATAGTTTTGTAAGTTTTATCATTAGATTTTATAAAAAAAATTTGTTTTACATCTTTTGTTTTTTAAATGTTATAAAATATTATTTTATCAAAAAGGAGTATGGGAAATATGGCACATTTTCTCACATTGAATAAAAATAAAGTTGAAGGTGTTTTTCTAATTGTTTTACTCAGGTACTAGGGTATCAGATTGGGAACAACAAGTTCATCTGTATTTAGCATCAAAAATAACAGAAATTAACAGAAAATAATAGTAGTTTTTATTTGTTTACTGTATTTTGTTAACTTTTTTATTTAAAACAATTGCTACTAAATATAATAAAGATTCAGCTGTTAGATTTATTTTGTTGCTATTGGTTTATGAAAAGTTTCAGTAGACTGAAGTATCTTAACTGAACATTTTAAAAGATAGATTAGTTGTAAGTTATGTTACTTTTAGTAATTTTTTAACATAAAATTATTAGTGAAGTGTCATACTGTTACTACAATGAACTTAAAAATTTTTAAGTACTTGCGGTACTATGCGCTAGTGGTGTAGTGATAGAGTGCTCGCTTCATAAGCGAGAGGTTCCAAGTTCAATCTCCACCACGTCCCTGGTAGTACTGCGCTCAACACGTTTCTCCGCGCAGCGGCCTTGTTCGTCATGGTTTGTTTTTCGGAATTATAGAGTTGAGAGAGGGTTATAACCACAAATAAGTAGTCTCCTCCTTTGTAGTGGTCTTCTCGGCTTTAAGGAGGTGAATTACCAACAAAAAAAAAAAGTGCCTATCATTAAAAAAAAATTTTAATAGTTATAATTTTCATACTAGTAATAGTTTTCAATAGTAATAATTTTACTGTTACTACTATGAACTTAAAATCTATCAATAAATATAAGTCTAGTTGAGAAAAGTAAAAGAAAAAATTTATCAACTTGTTGCCTCTCGCATTTGGTGTGGGGTGGGATGGTGGGGGTTAAATTCAAAGGGTCTTGTTCTCAGTCTGTAACCATCACAATTTTTTTGCAAAGCATTATTATTTGACATAAGTGTAACCATACAAAAGTTCAGGGTTTGCTCTATGTCTGGAAGTTAACTATCTCAAACACCGAAACTGCTTGGATCCGTAACTGTGTATTAGGTGCACCTTAGTTTCTGTAGCTAAGATCTTGGTTTTCAATTTTTGGACCTGTCACACTGCAAAGAAATATAGCAAAATATATTAACAGATATTTAAAACTCAAAAAGAACCAGCACAAGAGTAAGACAGGGTGTGCACAATCTTGCACTGAATTTATGAAGACATGAAGCAGGGTTGGCAAAAACCTGTGGTTTTTTTAAAAAAATCTGGCCCATTGGGTTTTTTGGGTAAATTTTTTTTTTTTAGGTTTTATTTTGTTTTGTCTCAATAAAATTTTTTTGTTTAATGAAGTTGAAAAATAGTTTATTTTCTATATTAACTTTATTTAAAATATATTTTATATATTGTAATTTAATAATTTATAGTAAGAGTTTTTCAAATTATTTTAAAAAAAATTTTTAAACTGTAAGAGGAAAAAAAATTCACATTAAATCTATATGTATTGATTTATTTTAAATTTAAAAGTATTATTCTATTTAATTTAAAATGTAAATGAGAAATAGGAAAAAGTAGGCTAGAGAATGGAAGGTAGTAACTGAAGCTTCAGCTAAATGTTGAACTTAAAATTCAAATAAACAAACTTTTTTTTTTGCACAGAGGCCTTGTTTATAAAGGTTTGTGTCGCCACAGCTGGAGCTTATACTTATGCTTTTTGAATGAAAAATAACATCAACAAGCATGCTGATAATATTAAGGTTCTAATTTAAAATAAGATCAAACATTAAAAGATAAAAATTCAGTTACACTTTGATTGAATGTTAATCAAGGTTTGCATATATTTATTTATAACTAGTATGTTAAATGATTACAATAAAATGTTTTCATTACATATTTATTTGAGTCCAAATTCCAGAACATGTTATAAATGAATGTTGATGTAGCAGTTGCAAGGATTTGCATTCTTGTGAGAGCTGAAGGAACTACTCATCTACTTGGTGCTCCATGGGTTCCTTCCCATACAGGACTAAATTGGTTTAGGCTATCAAGGAGATTTTCACGGAGTTTGGTATTGCTGATTATGTAAGAATGGTTTTCTTTGACACTACTGCTACCAATACTGGAATGATTTGTAGTGCTATATGCAGATAAACAATTTTTTTTATTAATTTAAAAAAAGAACTCTGAGAGCTATTACAACAAACTATTCATTAATGGCTTCAATTTTATTAGATTGAGTTTTTGAAATAATCTTGGAACATTATTAGTCAGCAGTTACCATAGGTCAGCAGACCTGGAGATGTACTTTTGTTGATGTTGATAATGACACAAGAAGAAATCTTTTAATGACACTTGTTAATGAAGGTGTTTTTAAATATTTTCAGGTTAATTTTTCTAGCCATTAAAATGTTCAAGTTTTAATGTAATAAATGTTTAATATTTATTAATAAAAACAATATCCAATATTACCAGGAACTAGAGACTACCAGGAACTTACTGAGCTAACTCTTATTTTTTAGGAACCAACATTCAAGCTTCTCAACATTCACAAGCCTTAGGCAGTAAACCATACACGTTTTATGGCAGTAAGTATTTACTAATCTGAAGAGTTTGCAATATCATGCTTCTTTATAATTTGACCAAGCAAATCCTAAACTTGAGACAAAAGGAAGATAAAGGATGTGGAAAAGATGGCAACTTATATTTCGATTTTCTATTCTCCTAAATTTCTCAGAGCTGGGAAATCAGATACAGCTGCAATCAAGAATAGTTTTTTAGCCTTTGATTTCATAATGTTATAAATAAACTCATTATTACCATTATTATTTGATAAGATAATGTTAAAAATTATTGAAATATTAATTTTACAGGACCAGTTCTTTTTTCTGGCAGATTCTCCATCAGAAAATGTTTGAATTAGATGCAGCGCCAGCTTTCAAAATTTAGGAATACCATAGCTGGTACTTAGATCCCATTACTCATATGTTTTTCCTTGCCATCTCAGAGCGGTTTGTATCTGATATTATGAAATAAGGCATGGCTTAAAAGCTAGTACAGTATTCTTGAACAGATGTATATGATTTTGAGAGAAAAAACAATTCAGGTTTTGTTCCACAGAAAAATAAGTTTCTCAATTTTTTCCAGCCACCTTTAGTGGTTGATTATGTAAGAGCGAATTTGTGGCTAGACTGAAGTCATGCTTTTATATCCTTGATCTACATGGATAATGAGATCCAGATTTCAATTTATTTCAAGAATTTGAAACCACTTTCACAAATCAGCTATTTTCAGATACTAACCATTTTCACATACCAAAGCAGAATATAAAAAGGCAGATAAGCAGCTAACACCTGCTGAGAAACCTTGCTTAAAAATGTAGAAGTTTCAAGTAGACGCAAGACAAGCTATCACTGCCTAATACCAATGACTTTTATTGTAGCTTAGACATGGCCAATTGTGATTGAGGCTATAGAGACTGAAAATGAGGCCTTCAACCAATCAGAAACTTAATTCTATGTTTTAAGCTAATAAATTTTATAAATAACATTCTGGTTTATTTGCCTACCATGTAAAGTGTGAAAAAAAGTTTTCAAGCATGATCTAGACATATAATTTCTCAAATCTTTGGTTAAGTGTAGCAAGAGAAACAATTTTTTTTTATTTGAAAAAATCAAAGTTATATATGAAGAATTAAGTAAAACACAAATAAGTTTTTCTTAAACGAAGTATTTTTTTTTTTTTTTTCATAAATAAAATATTATAAAAAAGACTGCAGAGTCTTTTTCAATGTTTTGTTTTTGAAATAATTCATATAAGTATTTTATAAAAATCTTGAAATCACTTTCATATGGTTTTTAAAAAAAAGTCTATTTTCTTTCTTTGCTTGAAATTACTTTTAAAACGTCTTCAACAAGAAAGTCAAATTTTCTTCATTCGTACTATGTAAAAAAAGTGTTGTGGTGTACCTACCTATAGAAGCTCTTAGAAATAAAAAGTTATTACAAATTAGGAATTACTATAATTACATTTATAAAGAATAATTTGGAAACTTTATTTTTTCACGTGAGGATATAATTGTTTTTTCTAAAAGAAAGTAAACATTAATAAAAAGTAGGGTACGAGATTTTATAGGGGGTGAGTGGGACAGTTTTTCAAAATTTAAAAAATCTTCCCTCCCATGTATTATTTACGCAAGAGTATAGTTTCATGTTAAGTGTGTGTCAGTGGAGATTAAAATGAATATTAAAATTCTCTCAAAAAAATTTACTAGTAAACTTCTGGTTAAAAAATAATAATTTGATTGAAAACTTAAAAAAAGTTAAATTCATTTATAACGGTTTTTAAACCATGTCAATTTACTCGAAAGAATAGTTTAAAATATTTTTTAAAAAAATAATTTTAAAGAGTGGTTTAAAAATAAAATACTAAACTTTATTAAACTTTACCAATTTTATAAAACAGTAACTTTTACTTTCTAATTAATTTTCAAAAATCTTTTTAATAAGAAGTTTTTTTGATATTAAATTTTTTTATTTTTTGAAAAAAAATTGTATTTTGTGACTTACGCCATTTTAACAAAAACCGATTCATTTAAATTTAAATGCACAATTCTTGTTTGACATAGTTACTGCTATTGGAAACCATCTTTTAGACATTAAAAAGTTTTGGTATTTGAAAAACCAAACCATCTATATTTGAAGCAAATATAATTATACTAACTCGCAAAAAATTTGAGCGCCATATAATCACTCATTC